CACATTCTTGATAATATGGTGAGATTTCTTAAATATTGCCTTAATTACATGTGATATTGATCGGTATTCGGTTCACCATTCCTTTATCGTGTAGGCCTTGTTTGTTAGGGCCATTGAAATGTACCGTATATTAACGTAATGTTACATATATTACTTAAATTATATTTTTCACTTATCTGAATGAGTCTCATATAGAGGTGGATAAGTGCTTAGTAAGATTAATCAGCTTATTTTTACTGTAAATGAAATTTGTATTGAATATTTAGACTACGTTAACAATATCTCCAGTTTATTATTATTAGATCTCCGTTTTACTTCCGAAGGTCGCGGGTTCGATTCCTTGCACGGTGCAAACATTTGTATTCATGATCATGATTGTTTGGGTTTTTTCTATGTATATTATGTATTTATTTACAAACACATAATACAAGCTCCGCTTATTGTGTGATTAGATGGCGCTGTGTTAATTGTCCAGGGGATTTTATTTATTATTATAACATATATCTACACGTAAGTAATAAATTTAAATATTTAAATTATTTCTTTACCCTAATATTTATATATATATATGTATTATAATTTAAATATAAATAATATTTAAAAAAATCTATCACGATGAATTAAGTAATAATATACTATATATAGAGCTGACAAAACGAGCTTTTAAAACCGACATCGAGATATTTCATTTTATTTTTCAAAGTTAAACTCAATACAGTACATAATTAATTTTTGTCAATAGTACATACCTATCAGTGAACAATAAATAAATACAAGTAATACAAAGGCTATAATTTAACGATTCGCCAGTCAAAACAAGGGATTGGTATTTGTGAATCGATTGAGACAGACCGCGTCCGCCCAAATGAAATGAACAATAAATTAAGAGTTGTTTTCGAGACATCATAACTCTACTTAATTGAAGTACAAACATTTACATATCACTGACTTCAAGCTCTTAATTTAGATAATTAAGCAAATTATCTTAATGTGATTTTATTTTGAATTCATTTTATTAAAATAAAAAATATAAATTCATAATATTAATATTTTCTTATTTTTTATACTACGTATATATACATATATATACACATAATAAATATAATCAAATTAGAAGAGACTTAAAACTCCTATGTATGTTTTTGTACTTTGTTATTCATGACATATATTGACAATAATAATCACAATTATTCGCCTACAGTTATAGTTAATATGTTATAGATAGGCACATAAATATCAAAGTAATGTATTCTAGAAGCATTATTTATAATCGACTGAGTTTATATAAGTATATATCATTACTTTATTACCCATATGAATAGATCATAACATTGCATAAACTCAAAAGCGTTTACGGAACCACTTTACCTATAATTTTCTCGTAGAAAAGCTTTAAGACACGTTTATCCATGAACAAAACAGTACCGAGTTTGCCCTTGGCTAAATGGTATCTTGTTTACTGCAACACGATTGCGAATCTCGAATCCTTTCAGACTCACTCAGACGCCTTTGATAGTGCGCATTAGACGAACATTAAATATACAGAAGAAGTATGTGTTGAAAGAAACTCTTAGAGCCTTGAGGCATTTCAAACTAGCGTGCCTTGTGCCTTTTATGTATACGAGTCATTATAATTTTATCCATTAGACGTCAAACCTCTGTTATTATAACATAGTAAGGGCAAGCAATGATCGCCTTTACAGATGTGATTATCAAGGAGAAGTTGTTTTTCGTTTGGAGTTTCGACCAGTCAAATTGATGGTCCGTAATATGGAGCGCTTTCAACGTTAGATTCTGTGACGAGATGATTGGATATTTGTTTTTTAGTTCTGTTTAAAGATTAATGACTATCTGACTTGTATTGTAATAATACTACTAAATTATCTATAATTGCAAATTACATACATGGAAGGCATGCTTTTGAGTTAAACAAATTTATAGTCGCATAAAATTTAAATAATTTCACGAAAAGGAATGCTTGAGTACAATAAATTGCTTTCACAAACCCTCAATGCAATAACTTAATTTTAATGGGAAAATTCACTTAGTATGTATTTTAAAGGAGAAGTCTCTGGTATTTATAAGACGAACAATACATTTTAGGAGCTGCCACGGCAGACCATTTTCGCATAGCAAAATGAGGCTACTAGTTCATTAAAAAGATATATGCGGTCATTATGGGACATTTCTACAGAATATAATACTAATGTGGACCTCCTAGTAACTTATCGGACTATTGTAGTCATAATGCAATTTAAATAGTAGTTATGGTACCTATAGTCTCGGATTGTATAAGGTTAAGATTACTATTCTTGTTTTAAATTCATATTTATCTACCAAATAAGAAAAGCTGGCATAAACACAAACTGGTTTTAAGAGACTAAGTAAAGTGTCCAGGTTTACAACAGAAAAAATAAATAAAATAAACATATATAAGCAATTAATACACAGCAACATATACCCGTACACGAAAAGTAAATCTCGACTTTAAAATTTTATATAATAAAGTGATTCGCATTGCAATAGTTAACTGTTATGGAATAAGACCCGTAAACGGCAGTAAAAGTCAAGTATGTTAATGGTTTATTGTGATACTGAATTATCGATTATAATATGTACGTAAAAACTTAAGGTTTACAAAAAAACGTACTTACTTTTAAAAGTGTGGTCAAGATTTGTATCAAAGTAAAACATTTTTTTTGGAAAAACGCCAGGTCTTCAACAGATATGGGCATTCGGCCAAATATTGAAAGGTAGATAGATTTATAATGTCAGCAATTTACTTACGTATATTAGCTTCAATATATTATAAAGAAGTTTATGCTAATGTGTAGTACCCGACTTGTATACGAGTATAAGTACTAATATATTATATGAATATTTGTCTAAGTAGAGGTAAAGTATACATAACATTTACTACTTTTCACTCTTATAATATAATTGCAGTTGTTTTATATTACACTTAATTATTTTATTTTAAAATTTCGCTCTGATTGTGTTTAACTATAATAAATTTTGATAAAAATTATTCAATTTTATTTGTTATATTAAGAATTGTTATTTAAGAATTATGCAATTTCTTTAAATATTTTTTATACCTCAGGACAATTCACACAGCGTCATCAAGATCTGCTGCATCGTGCTTGTGAGCTTATGTGCAGATGTTTGCGTTATGGGAACTAAACAACTGATATGATTACAGATATATTTTTTTGTAAATAAAGTCATAATATATATATAGAAAACAATCAGGCCGATAAAAACAATCATACAAACTAGAACCCTTGGTCGTCCATCGGAAGTAAGGCGATGTGCTAAAGCGCGACCACCGATGCCGTGAATAAAAACTGCAAGATGGTAATTTTTAATGTATTCAAAATGATATAAATTTGTTTTTAAACAAAATATTAGTAAAACAAAAAATATTATTATTAAACAAAATGTTAATTTAACACAATTATTTTTAAAATTCCGTCCAAAAATATATTCCATGTTTAATAGAATATTAAAATCAACACGTATAGACTCTCTGTAGCAAGAATTCCTACTGGGATGTAACATAAAAGAAGAAAACTGGAAGCCACTTGAGCATTCGCTCTGCTTTACGATGATACGTTATAAAAAGAATTTTGAAATATTCATCGCATTTCATTTCAAATCTCCAGATAAAACAACAGTGAAAAATAATAAAAGTAACAGAGTTTTCATATTAGATAACTTTAAGTAATAGAAATACTAACTTTTTTTTATAAAACTGGTATGGATATAATCTTATGGAATGTTGACTTGATGTCGTTAATGTATATAGACATTTGACGTCGGTGGTACCCCTCATCTGATGCTATCCCTAAGATTTTACCCTTAAAATTGAAACACATCCATACAAAGAGAGCTACTTGACGGTTGAAATAATGTGACAGAGATACTCACAGAGACGACTTTGTATAAAGTCTACCACTCCTACGTTAAAACACTAAACACAATTTAAGAAAAAATAAATTTGTTTACGTGTCCTTATCCTTCTTTATTAAAATTAATGTAATGTAAATGAATATTCTAAAATATATTACTTCAATAAAAATAACAGACATCACATTAGCAATTCAGAAATTCAGTTGAAAGCAGCAGACAAGTGTTTCCACCAGATGAAATTCTTCAAAGCCGGAACTCCGCCACCGTGAAATTCAATTAAATTATATCTATGTAAGGCCCTAGGGCTTATTCAGGTGATCTCAGCCACTTTCATGGCGGTTGCATTCCCCTGCCGTTGTATACGACTGTATAACTTCAATATCGTGCATGCAATTTTATCTCTCGTTATAACCCTCATTTAAGAACTGACATTGCCTTATTATTTATTCTTTTATAACGAAAATTTGAAGTAATTCTTTAGATTTAACATGTTACTTACCTGCTACTATCTCCCAATAATATCAAAACAATGTATAAAATTAGGATCACGAAATGAACATTCAATAATAACCATAAAATTAAAACAATTTTTTGGTACAATTTTTTGAAAGGAAATATCATAAAAAAAGTTTTATCCCGAACCTATTTCAATACCAAGATCCTCATGACACTAGCAGCGTTTCAGCATTGAATTATTTAAGAAATATAATACAATCTTTCAAAATACATAATATGTTTTTTTCATACTACGTATCTTACGTGTATTGATTATATTTGTCAGTTGTAACGAACATATCACTATATTTTCGTATTTACGAAAGTAAGACAGAATTTCTTTTTAATACAAAATTATTACTAACACGGATCCCTATGTAATACAATTGTTAATGCTAGCAATAATTTTGTATAAATGTTGAGTAAAAATCTTCAGACAACAATACGCTAGATTAGCTAAATTTGAATAAGTAGAATCATGAAAAAGCCCGAATTGTGTTTAAATATCCTCTATCATATTAAAAACAACAAACAAAGATTTATACATATATTAAAGAAAATAATAGTAATAAAATGTAAAGTAATTAAAAAAGTTAATCAGTATCATATAATGAGGCAATAGCGTCATAATTACAGAGATCGCTGTCACAAAATGTCCACCAATAGTTGTATAATGGGCTCTTGATGCATCCCCTCCATATATAGCCATCATTTTTAATTGCTTTAACTGCACATATTTCATTTTTTTGGCACTTTTGTAAAGGTAATGTACCTCTGGAAAAATATTACAGTATTTAACTATTTTTCCTAAGTAAAAAGAATGGTGATGTAAAAATATGTGTACCTAACTGCTAACAAAGCAAACGTTGCCGCGTTTTATTGTAGTTTTTAGGCAAATCTGACCTGATCATTCGTAACTATAATTTATGAAGATCTGTTTAAACGTTTGAAGACTATGAACTTATTTGATTTACTAGTTAATTTTTCTAGTTTTGTTAAGAAATTTACATTTTGAAAAGTCTAATAGAACACACAGGACTTTTATAAGTTATATGATACTATATTTTTATTAAATATTTAAATTACATACACATTGCCTTCCAGGCAGTTGGCTTTGTCGAGCATATCTCCTTTTTTAATAGTCATATTCACTTCACATTTCAAACACGACATGTCCTTAAAAACCGTTTTTCGAAAATGCCTGGTACGTGAAAGTTCAACAACGTTATCAATCCAATCTTGCTTCTTTGAAAATATGTACGGCATTTCAGAAATTGATATATAGTTGCATAGATTACACGAACATACGTATGTGGTGAGATTGTGATTCGTATTGAAACATCCACGATCGATTATACCAAATGGAGTGTGCAGTGAATAACAAAGGTCATCATCGCGTGCGCAAATAACTGATGATATTCTGTTGAGTGAATTAAATCAGTTAATGGATGAATAGCATTTTTAGACCCTTGTTAACAAAGAGTACAAAAATAAATCAGTATCAAGTAGAGTAAATACAATTTAAATATACAATTAATTAAAAACTAGTTTCAGTACCGTAACCTGGATTTACTTATACGTACAATTTATTTTTAGGATCATTACAATCTTCGGTTATTACATTATTGCATGCTATGCATGATCTTCTTGAAAAAGCGATATCATATTCAGAGGCATTTAATGTAAACGCGTCTGTTTTTTTAAGTATACTAAAGTCCTTTTGATCTGTTTCAAAAAACATTAAATTTTTTGATAGACGCATTAACTCGTGTCTTTCAGTTAATTTATAAAAATCCTTCGGTAATTGTGACGAAGTGTAACTTTCATTAGAAAAATTAGTTGAAGAAAAATTATCATTATAAACCATTGCATCATTTAATAATAAATGTGCACTAACATTGTTGGAACTAAATGTACTTAACGTAACATTCACATTAAATAACAATGTGCTACGAGTAGGAAGTTGTTTAAAAATATTATCTTTAGCAATCTTCATATGTGAAATGGTAGTAATTTTAGTAGAATCAGTATTATACAACTCATTAAAAATTTCTTTAACATTTTTAATCAAGAATGATACTAAATGTGGGTTATCAGAAGATGCTCTTTCCGTAATATTATCTTCAAGTGCTTCTTCCACCTTTCTTCTAAAATATGGTAAATGATTCTTACTGTGTATAGATTGTATTTCTTCAGATTCTAATGTAGTTATCACGTGAACATATATAAAAACATTGATATATTTCATTATAATTAATTAAAAACTACAAACAAATCTTGATTTTGACAATAATTTCTAATTTTAATAGTGACTGATGATTTAATAATTGTTTTTCATAAGAAATAAGGTTTTATACTTCTATCGAATTCAATGAAACACAAAACTTGCAAAATATCCATTGTGCTATATTTTATTTTAACTGCGTAACTTCTAGATATTACTTTCTTTTTGTTTCTAAAATAATTTTGCTTGTTTGACCGCATTGTTAATTTAGGATTCTGAAAATCATTATTATTGCATACTGTTTTGTTACACAAATAGTACATTGAATTAAATGCTGGCATTTGTGTGCAACCTCTAGATACATAGTCGAGTTCATCGTCAATATTTACGTAACATAACTGATTATGTCCGCATACCATGTAGTCTGCGCTGAAAGGACAATAAATAATGTATATTTTAATTAATTCTACGGGGAACAGAACCGATAAAATATTGGGTAGTCTATATAATGCTGCATTATGACATATACCAATTCACACAATTGCAGATATTTAGAAGAGGCATATTTCGTATCCCTGTACCAATAATTTGAGTTATAAACCGGCTTGTTTCGTGAGCTGTTTTCGTTTGGAGGGTGAGATATGCCTGTGAACAACAGCTAGGGATGTATAGTATTTTAATCCTCTGGAATAATATCTCAAAGGTTAAGAATAATATTATCACATACCATCAGACGTTAAGAAATATGGAATATAAGATAATTTATATATAATATATTATTTATATTATTGAAAATATACTCCTATAATTATTTGATTTATATGATAATAATAATTTAATCACATTAGGCAACTATTGCTACAAGAGCTATTTATTTAATATTTCTATCAATTTCCATACTTACTTCTCACCCAATCTACAAATTTTATCTGATACTTTATTAGTTCCGGTGGTATCACAAACTTTACATAACAGATCCATTCTTTTAATTGGGCTTTGTAAGCGAATATTATCATATTCCCAGTCACTAATCTTACTGTATTCATAATAAGTGGAATCATTCCATGTCTTATCATTGCATAAATGACAGTTGCACACAAAAGTTCTATTTAATTTATTAGGTACAACACAACCCCTTCGAATGAAGTAATAATGTATTTCTGTGAAACATACTTCATCGTCTGCGCATTCTTTTTTGAATAATCTAAATGTACAAATAATATTTGTAGTTAGAATGAATATCCTACAAAGAATTTGTACTATATATACCCTTTATAAGAAATAGAAATAAAAATTGATACAGAGTTTACAAAGACGAAGTAAATTGTTGAATTGGAAATAATTATGAACACTTACATTTTTACATTAATAAATTATTAATTAGAGTTTTATAATGATATACGTTTTTTCGTTATGTTTTATTATATAGATATATACGTTTTATTTGATTTCATTAGAATTAACGTTACTAATTCTGATATCTCATAAAGTTAATGGAAAAAATGTAATTATTACATATTACTTACGAAGATCCCCTGTAACAATTTTCATCTAATGCCGAAGTTCCATTTGCAAAACACGAAAGACATTCAATCCTGCGGTAAGCAGTAATATTCACTACATCCCTTGTTTTCCTTATTATCTCACGAGTCCCATTCTTATTTCCTTCTCTCTCAATTTTTTTATATAATTTAAAATTTTCTACAAAGAGTTTTTTAAGTTCATTATCATCAAATTTTTCATCGTCCACAGTAATAGTTGTTGTAATTACGGACTGACCCAGAGTTTCGCCGAAATTGTTTTCAAGCTGGAGTCCTGATGCAATTTTCCTTTGTTCTTTAATAATACCAGACTCGCTCATAATCCTGTGGTATAATGAAACTAATATAAGAAAACTGAAGAGATTTGGGTTATTTACAGTTGGCATATTGTAGGTTAGCTCCTACTAGCTGTACAGAAATGACGTTTCATATAATGCTGCAGCCTTTTTGAAATAGAATATTATTTTTAAGTAAGCGGCCTGAACTTAGAAGTTGGTTTATATTAATGTTATTCCTGCTCCTCTATTTTCATACATAAAATGAGATTTGACTTCTTACATTTTTTTAATGTTATTATAATAAAATACATTGCAATAAATAAGGCGCGATATATTACCCGAAAAGAGATTGATATGAGCAAACTTTAAAAAATATCCATTAAAATCGGCGCAATATTGGTGCATTTTTTTATAGCATTCTCATTGAAACAATCGCATGTATTAGATATATTTATTTAATTTGACTAATGCACGTAGATATACACGGGTAACATGAGTTTATCAGTAAGTATTATTTAAATTTATTAAAATTAGTATAAGTACTAATCAAAGATGGCAGTCAGATAAAAGCTATAATAAAATTGCTAATATCCAAGAACATGCATTAAATGTACATGACTGAAATGCAGGAATAAAAAATACACTAAGAAAGTACATGTTGTAAGTTCAGGTCCATAAAACAATATAACAACCGTACACTATTAAGTAAATTGCGGATATTCATTTACCCACAAAATGGAATCAAAATTTTACACTTGTTTTAAAAAATTGAGGAAGTTATTTTACATGTAAAATTTTAAGTGTGTTTTATAAATTTAACTCACAGTTATATAGAATTAATGTTGCGTATACAGTATTTTTCTTACGTCTTGTGGTAAAAAGTAAATGGAACGAACTTGTTTGTTAGTTAGCGTTATATTAAATAGTTTTAACGTTATATTTATTCACAATATTAAGCATGCTTCTTTATAATCAACTATGAAATAGCATCATACTAGAGCTATAATTCAACCCAATAATGATTCATATAAATTTGCAAAACGAGAAGAGGTGTAAACTGTAAGAGTGAGCGATGTAGCATATAATTTACAAAAGAGGTCCGCAGGCAAGTAGTGTTGTAAGAATTTATGTCGATGTATTTGTTTGTAATTCACATATCTATTTTAAATTCTTCAATAGTCATTTAATGTTTATTTTATATATGTAATAATACACATATATAATTCACTAATGCATGTAGTCAGAGCTAGGATACCATCCATAATCATAAAAAAAAACTTAAAATTTATAATATTAGCTGTATTTTGTTTCTCGTATGAATATAACATTAAGTACAATTCTATAAGCGTTAGTTGAATATCTTTTAGTATAGGTACCTTATCAGATCTAAAATTTTATTTCTAACTATTGAACCGATAAGATATAAAATAATAATAGTATATAGTTCCAGTAACTACATATTTTGACAACAGGCGCTAGAAAAACAGTATTGTCTGTCTGTATTAACTGTCAAAATTTTTCTGTCCAGGCATCCCCACAACAGATTATTTTCTTTATCTTTATTACCTATGCAGTCTCTAGCCATTGTAACGCAGTGCAAAACAGCAACAATTATTGTAATAATTAAAATGGACTTAGACACAAAAACTAGTCGTATATCGTCAAGATATTGTGTTGAAGCAACACTATTAAAGTGTCATTCTCTTTTTATATATGTAAATAAGCTTTGTCCATAGATGCATCAATTTGCAATAACCAGTAATAAATGGCAGTTATCGTACACCGCTTAATCTCTATGCAAAAAGATGCATATAATACTCAATATAGATAAAAAATAAAATATAAAACGATTTGTTTATTCTTATTCAGTGAGCTTTAAAAAGCTTTATTTAGTTATTTGCTTACTAATTGAAATAATTATAGAACCATATGACCATGAACTTAAATTTTCCTTTCCAAAAAAAGAACTTTTAATCCGTAAACTCTATTCCCTCTTCAACAATTAGTGGAAGCTAATTCCTTAAGTCAAGTTATTTGTTCTCCTTGAACAATTTATTGGTGCCGGGGCGGCGGACAGCGAAACTTTAGAAGAATCCGACTCGGGATGTATAATTCGACCTAATTTAAAAACTTGTGCAATTTAAAGGCTGATACGGAGCCTGTACATCTGGACTTAGTTTCCGATTATGTTAAAGTTGTTATTATTGAAGCGCGTTGAAAATTAAAGTGAATTATAATTTTATTAAAAATACTCTTAATTACATAAGGTAATAAGTAACAGTATTCTACGTACTTTATGATGCTGGGAATTGTTAACAAAGTTTAAAGAGTACCTACTAATAATGGTAAATTTATATTATATTAAAGTATTGACGTGACCTGTCAATGTAAATGAACAATAAAATCTCAACAACTTAGTAGTTTCACAAAAATATCAGTAGTTACTTCAAATATTATTGCAAATATGATATAAGAATTAATATATATAGTAAAAAAAATTGTAAGTCATTTATTATCGAGACTATGTATTTATTAATTAAATATGAAAATTTTGTTCGCATTAATAATTCTGAAAGTCTAGTCTAGTCAGACCAATTAATGTAATGGACTATTTTAAACTGGTTTTGGTCGTAATTTGTAGATGTAGATTCTAAATCAAAATACGTAAATATTCGTTTCAATATTAGAATGATAAATAATAATGTAACAAATCAGAGATTTATATATTTTTCACTTCAACTAGCACTGTTCGTAATTGTAAATACTATAACATCTAAATCCACAATGAAGAGAACTAGAATCAGTTCTCATATTTATAGTTTGTTAAAAGTTCTTACGTACAATGTTGATGTTTATTATTATCGTAACATATAAATAATACAATCGTATTAGAAATCTCTTCTTTGGTTGAATTCGGTTGGTTGAAAATGCAAATACCAATTAACATACCTACATTCATAACCGTAAGTTTAACATCAGAGGCCCAGTGGTTGTTTTTCAAAATTATTCCAACATTAACTTCGTCACACATCAGTGGACGCACCAACTGAGGCTTTACATAAATCCTCATCCGTAATTTAATGTCGCATAAAATCACAGGCCGGTTCATGCAGGCATCCCTCAGGCCTGTCAGTGCCGGACAGCATATACGTTTTTGCCACCCATTGTAAAGTTTTTTATTACCTGTAATTTAATATACTTACTGAATCGCCGTACAGTGCAGTGCAGTTTATGGTTTCATAGCCCTACTGTTTTGCATTTTGTAGTGCACATCAGAAGCTTGTGTGCAGTGACGTATTTTTTTTCATATATAATATATTGCAATGTTTGAAGGTGACTTTGATAGTAAAATAATACTGAAATTAATGCAAGATTAACACATATTGGTCATACCTTTATTTATAAAAATTCTAATATTATATATTAGGTATAAGATTGTTTTATTCATTTTTTTATTAGGAAGAAGCAAAGGGACAGATTAATTTAAAAGTAAAAATAAATTAATTACACGATGTATATTTTTGTAAATAATAAGATATTAAATCTTTGAGATCTTTTTGAGTATGATATTAAAACTAGTATTGCGTATTCTCTCAATAATAAGTATGGTATTAAAAATTAAAGGGTATTTTATATTTAGTACAAAAAATAAAAATAATTCAGTAACAAACCAAACGCTCTCTAATCTAGATTAGCATTATAAAGCCAGCCCCCTATTTGCCATAGAGGTTAAAAAATGTAAATCCCTTTTGCGTCCGAAGTTTAAAATTAAGCCTTTCGTAATGAAGTACTTATCTACTTGTGTTTTCATTTCGGACCCAGAATTCTTATAATAAGACCGCGTTTTTACAAACCATTTGGCAGAAAATACGAAACATTTGCTAGTAATATTAAGAAAAAGTAAGATTGAGTTGTGAAAACAAGGATTAGATGAGAGAATATTAGTTGCATGGAATAGTAAAGATTAGTTCCAATATGTCCTTAGTTTAAATCCCATTACTATATATTTATTTTAATAAATCTATTCATCTTTATTAGATCAATATCCCGTAAAACATAATTACTTATTTTTATTGTAGGTCAAATAATTAATATAATGTTTACTCTGTGAATTAAGATTATTAGTTAATTATATTAATACAATAAACAGACATCATAACAATAACAATGTAATCATCTTATACATTACCGCAACCTCTCATTATTCAGTTACTCAGTACAAACAGTTTGAATAGTCTTGATATTAATGTTTCCCTTTGATAGTCGCCCGGTATTAGCTTGGCATTAATATACGGAATACCAATGAACTGTCTATTAATCTAGTTATTAATTATAGGATAACTAGTTGCGGTAATGATAGTTTTGTGGGATAATGTTAATTGTAATTACAACGGGGTTGTTCATGTTTCGTTAGTAAACTCATATCAATCCATATTATTAATATAAATGCGTTAGTGTGTCAGATGATCTGTTTGTTAGATTTTCACGACTAAATGACTGAATGAATCATAAAGAAATTTGTAGATTGCATCACGAGCACGGAAATAGGCTATATTTTATTTTCAAAAAAGACGAGAATATCTAGTATGTATAACGTATGTGTATATAGGTAGTATATGAAACAACTAGCAAAATAAATATATAATACGATATTATCATAATAGTATATATGTATGAAATTATGAGACATGATCCGGCAACAACCGGAATAAACAAAATATTACTACAATGTATTTTTAGATATTTATAATAATAAAGTTTAGATATTTATACGCATAATAGCTCCTAAACCAATTCAATTGAATCGGGATAAATTTAATAATGAAATTTATTCAAATGGCTAGAAGTTATTATGTATTTAAATATCTAAACTAAATACATTAGTTTAGATACTTAAATGTATAATAACTCCTACGTATTTTCAATCTTATTATTAATGATATATTTTTACGCAATATACAGTACATAATGTATGCACAATACATTATTTTGCCAAATCTTTTTAATTAAATACCACGTAGGTACATTGAAAATCTACAAGTCATTTCATCTCGCATTGGTCCGGACATAATTTGAGTTCTTTCATGTTAAGAACTAAATAGTCTGAAGAAAAAGTCGGCG